GGATTAGCCGAAAAATCCCAAATTTGATTGAAAAGGCCAGATTTGGCCGAAAAGCGATGGACGACCAACGAAATGGCCATCGTTGACAGACAACGACGGTAAATCTGGCTGTAGACTAGCATTTTTCCGGCCAAATCCACCATATCAACGCCCTACCAACAGATCCGACCGTATGTAGTGTAACGCAATTTTTCGGCTAGATTCTGGCGGTGGTGGTCAGAATCTGGCACTGCGGGTGGTTGGGGTGTTTTTCTCATTTTACAAAATTTTATATATGGGGTATTTAGTTAAATTAGCAAACCTAAGGGGGGTTTTTAAAAATTTTAAATTTATAAAAAACTAAAATATTAATTTTCAAGGGCATTCTAGTCTTTTCACTATTAACAAACAGAAATCACTAACAAGTAACAAAATTGGGCTTCCCTCCTCATTGTCAGTGTCACTCATGGTTTTGGATTGAATTTGGTGTCAAAGTTTGCAGTTTCGATCGGAAATGTGGACTGTATCGCCGGAAATGGCACAGATTTCGTTTACTGTTAAGGAAATCGATTTTAGGGTTCAACAAATCGATCAAAAATTGTGACTATATCACCGAAAATCGCGCTTGTTTTCGGTTTAGAGTTCAAGAAATTGATTTGGGGTTCAAATTTGCAGGTGTTCGATCGGAAAAATCGCGTCTCCCTTTCGTTCAAGAAATCGTTTTTTGAACTGATGAATTTCGATTAAGCGAGGTGAATAGTTTGTGGGGCTTGTTTTGTGAAATTTCAAATTTTAAAAACTTTCATTATTTCTTATTCGGCCCACATATATTTTAACCTTTTCATTTTAACCCATTTTACGTGTTTAATTAATCCTAACTATGCCACGTCATCTTCTCTAAATTAAAAAAAAATGATAAACAGTTTTAAGGCCATTTTCTTAAATCCAAACTTGGGATGACCGGACAGCTAAATTTTCTCAATAAACCTTAGAAAATAACCGTACCCGTTATGTCTTAGGGTGATGCGATAACTCTTAAACGGCTCAGAGCTTTTTTAAACTCTAATGGGTTGATGCTGACATCGGTTAGATTTGTTAGGCACAACACCATAGAATAATTATGTCTCGATTGACTTGGTTGACAAATAAACCTTAGAAAATATAGAATATTTGTTTCGAGCAATCATGCAATGCAACTTCTTGGCCTGGACCTGCCCTCATAGCCTTTCATACTCTTCAATTAATGGAATGGACTACAATTTTGGAATCGACGGTAAAGTTGAAATGGGATCACTTTCGTCTAATTTTTTCCATGCTACCCATCGACTTACACTTCCCGTGACCTCAAAGAGTTTATTAGCATCCTACTATACGTATAGTACGATAACACTCGATATGAATCACTAACATATTATAGAGTGTATTTTAAATCTTTTAATATATTGATATATATTTTATAATATAATACATATCCTTAAAAATATTAATATAACTTTATTAATTTAGGTTAAAGGCTCAAAAATTTTTTGGATTAAATTCGAATCACCCAACCCAGTTTACTAAAACCTGCTTAAATTTATCCATTTTATATGAAAAAAGTGAAGAGGAACATGCATTATCCATTTTACATGATAATAATAATACAAGTAGAGATATAGATATTAACATTAATCTTAAAAATAATATTAATAGTTGAAAGGAAATGATATAAATTCTTAATTTTGTTATTAATTTTAATTACGTAATATCATAATTTAAAGCAAATAATATAATAAAATTCTTTAATTAATTATTGGAATGATATTAATTTTTAAAAAAAATTTATTATTTTAAAAATTATATATTTTGCTATATATACTATTCAAAAAATTAGATTTTTGACAAACAACGCCCATGTCAAAACACTGAATATTAGACTTTCTGGCTTTCACATTCGAGCTATGGAGATTATTAATATGCTTCCCATAGAACAGGCAGGGCACCCCATTCCACTTATGGATATCTCAATTTTCTTCTTTCTTCTGTTTCTCCTGCAAACTCCTCTAAATTCATCTGCAACATTTCAAGTTCTTGAAGAAGGCTCATCATTATCTGTGGACAATTCAAACGACTATTTGATTTCAGCAAATGGTGTTTACTCTGCGGGGTTTTTCAACGTTGGCGACAATGCTTTCTGCTTTGCAGTTTGGTTCATCAGTTCCTCGCGTCCCGTTGCGGCTTGGATAGCTAACCGCGATAAACCAGTTAATGGAAAAGGCTCAAAGCTTTCAGTTTTGAGAAACGGGGATCTTTTCTTAACTGATGCAGGTGGAATCCCTATTTGGAACTCCAAAACCAACTCAACTTCTCCGGTTAATCTTGTGCTTTTAGACACTGGCAATCTTGTGCTCCGGAATTCGGAGACTGTTACCCTCTGGCAGAGCTTTGATTCACAAACAGATACTCTTCTTCCTGAGCAACCACTCACCAAAGACACACAACTTGTCTCTTCAAGAAGCGAAGGAAACTTTTCTTCGGGCTTTTACAAGTTGTATTTTGACAATGACAATGTTCTCCGTCTTCTTTATAATGGTCCTGAGATATCCAGTGTGTATTGGCCAGACCCAGCGCTGATAACCTGGGAAGCAGGCAGGACAACATACAACAACAGTCGAATAGCAATATTCAACAATCTAGGCAGCTTCGAATCATCAGATGAACTTTCTTTCAAGGCAGCTGATTCTGGCATGGGACCCCAAAGAAGACTGAAACTTGATTTTGATGGAAATGTTCGAATGTACACCCTACAAGAGGCCACTGGGACTTGGAGTGTTTCCTGGCAAGCCATTTCTCAACCATGCATGATCCATGGCATCTGTGGACCAAACAGTCTTTGCAGTTATTCTCCTGAATCTGGTCGGATATGCTCTTGCTTACCTGGATTCAAAATTAAAAACCCCACAGACTGGTCTCATGGTTGCCAGCCTGAATCGCAGATCTATTGCAACCATACGGAGGTCGGTTTCCTCCCTCTCTCACATGTTGATTTTTATGGCTATGATATTCGATATATTCCAAATTGAAGATTGTAAAGACGAATGCTTGCAATCGTGTGACTGCAAGGGCTTCATGCTCCGGTTTGGAAACGGTGTGTACAACTGTTATCCCAAATTTCTCTTGGTTAATGGACACCGTTAGCAGAATTTTGAAGGAGTCACGTACGTCAAACGGGCTAAAGCTAGAATTTCAATATCAAACAATGACACATCCAAGAAAACGTATTTGATATGCCCAAGGGTACGTCTTACTGAGCTTGAAACAATGTACAAAAGACCCAAAGAAAATGAATCATTGAGGTTGTTGATCTGGTTCGCCTGTGGTGTTGGGGGAGTGGAAATAACCTGCATCTTTTTGGTGTGGTGTTTCCTGCGTGGAGGTGATGGAGATTTCAATGCAACCATTCAAGGATATATTATCGCTGCAACTGGATTTAGAAAATTTTCTTACATTGAGCTTAAAAAGGCCACACTGAACTTCAGTGAAGAGATTGGAAGAGGTGCAGCAGGTACTGTGTACAAAGGGACCTTGTCTGATGGACGAGTCGCAGCAATCAAGCGACTCAATGAAGCAAACCAAGGAGAAGCTGAATTTCTAGCAGAAGTAAGTACCATAGGGAAGCTTAATCACATGAATTTGATAGAGATGTGGGGATATTGTGCAGAGGGAAAGCACAGGCTTTTGGTTTACGAGCATATGAAGCATGGATCTTTAGCAGAAAATCTTTCCTCCAAAGCACCTAAATGGGAGAAACGGTTCGAAATTGCAGTGGGCGCTGCGAAAGGTTTGTCATATTTGCATGAAGAATGCCTAGAGTGGATCCTACACTGTGACATAAAGCCGCAGAACATTCTGCTAGACTCCGATTACCAACCGAAGGTGGCAGATTTTGGTTTGTCTAAGCTGTTGAATAGGACTGGGCTCAACAACTCAAGCTTTTCAAGAATAAGAGGAACCAGAGGTTACATGGCCCCTGCGTGAGTATATAACATTCCCATAGCCTCAAAAGTTGATGTTTACAGCTATGGGACAGTTGTTTTGGAGATGGTAACCAGAAAGAGTGCAACAGGTATGCCAACCTTCGACAATGGAGAGGTGACAGGTGATGGAAGATTGGTTAAATGGGTGAGGGAGAAGATGAATGCGACTAGTGCTGGAGAATCTTGGATTGAAGATATTGTAGACCCCTTGTTGGGGTGATATCAGTAACGGATCCAGAAATTTCTGTTAGGGTGGGTCAAAATAAAAATTTATTATACATTACTATTTTTGTCCGTTAATTTTTTTTTTAGGGTAGGTCAAAATATATAAATTTACATATTAATATTAAAAAAAAAAAAATTTGAGGGTGGAACAGTGGCTGGATCCGCCACTGGGTGTGATTACAACGCAAAAAAGATGGAGCGGCTGGTTAGAGTGGCTTTGAATTGTTTGGAAGAAGACAAAGATGCAAGACCTACCATGAGTCAAGTGGTAGAGATGCTTGTGCGTAGCGAGGATGAGTAATAAGCTGCTTGTTACCCAATTATGAAGTCTCCAATGTTATCGCAACTTTTCTCCAAGGTTTCTGGTTTCTGTATCCCACTAAGCTTATGATGTTTCAGAATTAATGAATATATATTATCGTATACGTACTCTGTGGCAAATCAAAAGTATTTGTACAATAAAATTTTTAAATAAAGATTGGTTCCGATTCTGGGTTTAATTGTGTGGCATTATAAAGCTCTTCACTCGATAAACTTTTCAAGGACAGCTACTTGGATTTTCCTCCTATGATATTACTTATATACATACCATTGAGCAGAAAGATATAATCATGCTTAAGCTTATCAACTTGTTTTTGAAGACATGCAACAGAAGTTATCAAGTTTCTAAGCTTTCTAGCCAAAAATAATAAAGGAGATACAGAAGGCAAGAAAATATCTACCAACAACAGTTACTTCCCTGGTGTTATGTACAAAATGACGTCCACATGTTACCTAAGCTCAGTCATCTTCCTTTCCGTTGGTACTCGTTTCAATATCTTCCGCAATGTGGTAAGTTGAAAGGAAAAAGGAAATCTGGTTCTTTTGCAGGAACCTGCATGAAAAAATAACTGACCTGTCAACCAGCATAAGAAAATGACAAATAGTAATCTTCTGGGAAAAGGAAAAGAGAAAATTATTGATGATTGCAAGTAAATCCAAACTATTTTCCAAAAAATTCCTCCCACAGACGTAGTAGAAATCTATATTTTTCACTCCAAGAATTGCTGAAGTTTTTCTCAAAGAAGTGCAACATTTTTGGTTTACAAAACATGACACGAGTAGGATGTTTGTAAAATTTGTAGAGCTTAGTTGAACTAACTTTTCTGTACCAACCCAGCCACATAAGGTACAGTCACCAGCTTCCAAATTCATTATTACTCCAGTGATGCAAAAGTTTTTACAGATATCCACACGCATTGAAGACCATCCTAAAGTTCAAAGTGAATATAAGCAATCCAACTCTTTCAGCAATAGCCACCATCCAGTAGTTATACATCATATACATTATATAGGGTATATCTTGTCATCAGAAACTGACTCTAGTTGAAAGATAAAATTATAATTGCCTAGAAACAAAAAAAGAAAAAAAAAGGATTTAAAAACAACCAATGCAGTGAATAAAAACACAGCTTCCTCCAAGATTTAAAATTTAATCATAAAATGATTGAGAGCTCATACTCGAGGAAGTCCAGTAACATTTGCTGCAACTTTGTCGATGTTTCCTCTTTAATTTTTGCACGGACCAATAACTCTGGCAATTTAACTACAAATGACAGATTACAGTAAACTAACAGCAGCTAATTAAGATTGTTAGAACTTTTATATGACAAAGACGCAATAAATCATCTATCCCAAAGAGAAGTACATGAAGACCAAAAATTGAAATGTAGATCTTTATGTCAAAAATTCTTTGACGAGTTAAAAAATGCAATAACAACAACACTATCATTGCTTTATATAAGTGAACACATGAAGTGGTACATGTTTCTCGACACATTGACTTTGTCTATCAAGGACGAGCTTACCAAAGAGGCGTAATAGATGCTCAGCACCATATATAGTTGAGGGAGCAACCATAACTGCCATGGTGTCTTCATATTCTTGGCGCTCACTTTTGTACAGAAGCATTATTGGCAAAGCTTTGTCAAAGAAAGAACGTAATCCGTTTATCATTTCCCTAGTTGAATCAGCTATCCTACACGGAGGAAAGATTTAATTTTCGCTTATGTATCGGAATTGTTGATTAGAAAGAAAACTGCCCTGCAAAACCAGCTAAGCCTTAACTATAACAATTCAAAAATTGCATGAGTAGAAGGAAGAGATCAAAAGGACACAAATAGTCAGATATTGAACTTACAACCCATCCTTCTCCAACCTATAATAATGATATTTCTCCAAAATGTCATCCACAGTCGGGGTGCATGGAAGTTTAACAAGCTGCAAGAAAGGTCATATAATCAAATACCTACCATGTTATGCATGACACTGAAAGATAATGATGAATGTTAGATACAGGTATACCGTATAATCATTTAAAAAAAAACTAGATCAACTTAGTTGCTCAAGTCTATTTTAACAGGTGGAGGCAGCAAATGAATGACATTACTGTGTATACATTTATTGACAGCATAATTAACCAATGCCATCTAATAATTGAAATGGTAGTTAAATTAAGTCATTTATCTTTGATAGCAACAGATGGTAGACCACCCAACAACAGTAACTTATATTAAATCCAAAGGGGAATAAATCTCGCCAGAAAATGCACCAACGCATTCCTACTATTGCACTTTACTCATTGTAATTAAATGCCTACAAAATATAAGAACTATTTAAGAAGTCAGTAGGCTTTATATGCCATGGGTTCAAAAAATTAAAGCAAATTACTTGTCATACCAAAAATTACGAATTAAAAAATTTAGTAAAAAAAATGGAGAGTAGACATACATGAAGGGGAAACAGCAAAAGGCTCAAGAGAACAAGAAAATCTATACAAGTACTATATAACCTTTAGTCTAGAATGCACATCTTCTATTATCAAATATAACAAGGTATTATGACAGGGACAGAATATAACTACCTTGCCCAGATGTGTAATTAATCCACAATCATCAAGTAGTTGCTTCCGCAGAGTTGGCGGAATTTGGAGGTTCACAAAATTTTCCATTGGTATGTGGTCCTTTTCCTACCAATTGAAAAGCCATGGGCTTAGGAAGTAGATACAAAAACGATTGATGGATAACATTAAGCTGACTGGAACACAACTGAATGAATTATCAGTTGAACGGATCCATAGAAATTAGGGAATGAATTATCAGTTGAACAGATCCATAGAAATTAGGTATGCATGCATCAGCATAATGAAAGTTAATTAGGCAGATGTACACCAGAGCATACCTTATCAAGACAGTCATTCTTTCGTTTCTTGCCCCTTGCAACCGCATATAGCCAGAACAGCTTAGAGGAGATCTAATTTCAAGAATAATATCTCTGCTCCAAGGAACTCCAAAGACATTCATGAAAGCAAAATTCTTACAGAACCAGTTATTGCCTCAGTCGTACACAGTAAAAGGTCACGATAATATTGCCTAGTTCTCGTAAGAGCACATAACAGCTAAAAGCAATGTTGCATTTGAGGGGTCTCCTTTTTGGTTGAAGGAAAATGATTGCTTGTTTGCCTGTTTCTCAATAAGTCATGTCTTTTCTATTAACTTATCAGATATATCTAGAAAACCAAGGAAAATGTCCAAGGAATACAGCCACAACTAGAATGTCACTTCACACCAGAAACAGGGAATGCATGCAGAAGACATTATTCTTTTTAATTCACCTTCAGTCCACTTTCAAGAGAGTTTATGGTAACAGTTTAGTTTCTTTTCCCTTGTCTGTAAGGACAAAACTTATGATCCATCAATTATAATGCTTAACCCCAACTAAATGTAGGCATGTGATAATATGCTAACATTCCTGCTCTATGCAGGAGATAGATCCAGATTTATTGCTCAATATTTAAAACAAAGGACAAGTTAGATGACTACATGCAAGAAATTACTTCTATAAAAGAAGAATGAAAAAGCTTAACCCATAATTACACAGATTCAAGTTTAGGAAACAGATAAACATGAGATTAAACGTAACCATCAGTACTTCTTGGTTTCATCAGTGATGCATGCCCTAGCTTTAAATTCTTTGATTCAATTGTTTTGTTGTTGGCCAGCTGCCTTTGGACATTCTCATCTGAACGTTTCAGCAGACGATCCAAACTGACCCATTCATCCCAGCTGTTGGAAGAAAAAAGTTCAAGAGACTAAAGCTTCTGACAGTTTGTTATTAGTACAGTGAATCATAAATAAATGGAAAAAGCTTAAGTATGCCAACTTAAAAGAATTAAAAAAAAAAAAAAAAAAAATTCTTCATCTAGTATATTTGTTATAGAAAATTTAACACTTTCTACAAAATTGTATTATGGCGAAAATAAAATTAAAATTTTCCAAAAAATAAAATCACAACAGCTATTGCATTAGTTGGTGTTATAAAGCTGTAAACTAAATTAAAATGCAACAAGTCTTAGAACTAATTCAACAATTATACTTCCAAGGTCTAACAATTTAACAATCTGAAGTTAAAATAAACCTTTTTTTTCCGTCAAATACAATTATAAGATCTAAGAAACCACCTGCATTTGTCCTGAACAAAAATTATAATTCACTAATTCTTCAACAATCTGTCATTAGTTATATAGACAGACAGATGTACTCACTTGTTATTCCACCCCTGCAAAACAGAGAAAAGATTATGCAATCAAGACACTCTAACAATAATATTCCTGTTCCTTCACAAACCAAGCAACTACAAACATTAAAATTTAACACAACCAAAGACCATACTTACAAGGTAATGAACAAAAAATGTAGTGCCCTTCTTCCGGTAATGGACTTTTTTCACCTTAGAATTAAAACAGACTATTATTGTCAGAACAAAAAATAATCCTTAAAAAAGAAATTGGTAGACTCTATAAATGCTGCAAGCAATTTCAAAGTCATATATGAAATGATTATCTTCAATTGGTCGAATTATTTACATAAAACTAGGTTCCGTTGATTCAAACAAACGATATAAACAATTTCCTACATTTTCACTCCCTTCAAACAATGAGAAAGAAAAGAAAAGTGACAGAGCACCTTGGCATCGTAAACGTGTTTGCAATGAAAAGCGAGGACCTTTTCATTTTCTTCAAACACGGGAGTAGAGTCGTCGTGTGTTTCTGTTTTCTCGGTGTCCGCGTCCATCTTCGTTGCATCATCAGACTCCGTGGCAGAATCGTTATTTAGCTCCGTGTTTGAGCTTCCCATTTTCAGCTGACTTGTTTTTATTTCAGCTTTTGTAGCACCAACACTGATTACTTGAAAGCGGATATGCCAAAGTAAAATCTAAAAAAATAAAATAAAATAATGTGATAGTAAATAGTTTATGAAATTATGAAAGATGTTCAGGGGTTCAGGGGTTCAGGATAGTCGGTGGGTTAGTCAAGTTGGCCATGGACATGGTATTGGTAACATTGGGATTTTAATTCAAGCCGAATGACTTACACCAACCCAAGGTTTGGCGAAACGATTCGTACCTAAAAGGATTAAAAATGATAAACAGGTATCTTCTGTTATGTATTATTAGTAATTTTCGTTTGCTAATGGTGAAAAGACTAGAATATCTTTTGAGAAATATTCATTTATTTTTTAATTATTTTTAGACCCTTTTAAGTTTATTAATTTCATTAAATATCTCCAGAAAAAGGTTTAAAAATTAATAAAAATACCCCCATCCACCCATACTTGCCAGATTCCTGCAGCCACCATTGGTGGTAGCCGGAATCTGTCACAACGGTCTATATCACCATCGAAAATGATCGGTAATTCACTGATCTGGCCTTTTCCGACCAGATCCACAGTGGATCTAGCCGAAAAATCCCAAATTTGATTGAAAAGGCCAGATTTGGCCGAAAAGCGATGGACGACCAACGAAATGGCCATCGTTGACAGACAACGACGGTCAAATCTGGCTGTAGATCTAGCATTTTCCGGCCAAATCCACCATATCAACGCCCTACCAACCAGATCCGACCGATATGTAGTGTAACGCAATTTTTCGGCTAGATTCTGGCGGTGGTGGTCAGAATCTGGCACTGCGGGTGGTTGGGGTGTTTTTCTCATTTTACAAAATTTTTATATATTGGGGTATTTAGTTAAATTAGCAAACCTAAGGGGTTTTTTAAAAATTTTAAATTTATAAAAAACTAAAATATTAAATTTTCAAGGGCATTCTAGTCTTTTCACTATTAACAAACAGAAATCACTAACAAGTAACAACACATGACAGAAGGTATTTGTTTGTTATTTTAAAACTTTTCGGGTACCAATGTAATTTCGCTAAGCCTTGGGTAGCGTAAGTCGTTTCCCTTTTAATTAACTAGTTCCTGCACATACAGTATTTTGAAACACGTGGCACGTTATAATTACGCGATAACTCGCACTTTATCGTTGAATGAATCCAACGGACTACATCAAGCAACCATAATAAATCAGTTCAAAAATTACATTCTTTTTTAAATATAATAAAATAATAATTATGAAATTTCAAATTTTGAAAAATGATACACGTTTTCAAAAGATATATCATTTCCTTTAAATGTGGTGTTTTCAAAAGATATATCATTTCCTTTAAATGTGGTATTTTTATAACTGAGATACTGATTATATTTCGTAGTATTGTACTATAGGATTTCGTAGTAATATCACATGCCATTAATGATTTCTAGAACTTAAGATCCTGTAAAACTTGTTTGTATACATTAATTCATACTAAGAGTAAACAATCTTTTTTCACCCAACTAATGGTTTAACGACATTTTTCCACCTTCAGACTTTTAAAATACCACTTTACTATCTAAATTTATATTTAATTTCTGATTCAAGTATCGTTGCAACTCTACACTACCATTACCCTCTTTCCCAATCATCACTCATCAAAACCTTTCAAATCCAACTCCCGCCAACCTTGCTAATCACCGGCAATCGAGCTACTAGGGTTTACATAGTCGTCCCTTCTAAGTTAAATTCTGATCAATTCATCTATCAAAAACCAACATTCCACCACTAAAAGACTCACCGGTCTCTCCTCTTTAAAAGTTTCAATAGCTCAGAACGAGTTTGCTCTTTGTTTACCGTTAGAATATAAATTTGGATAACAAAATGGTATTTAAAAAATCTATGAGTGAAAAAGTGTCATTGAACCATTATTTGGGTGGGAAAAGTAGTTAACTCTTCATACAATCAATGTTGTTTTTATTTACTTCAATGAATTTATTTTATATAAGTTTGTATGAGTAATATATTGCCCATAAATAAATAAAGCAATATAAAGATGTTGATGGAAGATTTGATATGATACAATGAGATTAAATTTCTAGATTTATTTTTGCAAAATTAAGAAATGTTGTTAATAAGCAAACAATAAACATCTTGATCCCACATAATCTAAGGGTCCGCTTAGGAGTTTCATGGTGTAGTTACCAGAGTAAATCACTATAGTTGTTTTGAGGAGTTTTTAGTAGTGATTTTTAAAACACTTAACATATACTTGAGAGTTTATTTTCCAACGATTCTGATCGTTTTTTAAAACGATAAATTTACATATATGCTCATAAAAATACTTTAACTTTAACCAATACTTGAGAGTTTTGTTTTTTCAATTACAAGGTAAGAGTTCTTTATTTGTTTTCTAATTACTAATATTTTATAACTTTAAATGTGATAAAGTCTCTTTATCTTTCTTCATCATTCTTTATAACATCTTAATGATTGAAAAATTGTAACTTCACTTTTTCAAAAAAACATCTAGAAATGAGATTTTAATATTTTCTTTTTTTTATGATTGTTTAAAATTATTTTATATTTAATATGGTTGGAGACATGCATAATATGGTTAATTTTTTTTTTCTTTGGATATAATTGAGATAGTTTTGTAGTGGATAGAGTATTTGTAGAATAAAATTTTAAAACTAACCAAAATACCTTAGTTTGGGGTGTTTTATAAACCCCTAAAAAATATGCTACACTGGTTCTAAAGGTTTTTGAGCCCGTTAAAACCAGTACCTAAAAAATCTGACAAGTAATAATTTTAAAACACCTTAAAACTAATTTAATTAAAAATCCTTCAAAACCAGTGAACAAAAACTCCCATATAATGGTAAATCAAGTAATTGTACAAGAGAAAGAATAAAGAATAATAGCCTAAAGACACCCCTTTAGAGTTTAGACACACTGGGACAAACCCAAGGGACAAGGCAAGGCAAAGGCTAAGAAAAGCAAAAGGAAATTGCATAAAGCATGAAGCCACCTTGGACTAATACTTTGTTACTTACAAAAAAAAAATAGAATAAAGACATTTTAAGTAATGTATTTGGATTTGAGTGATAGTCGTAAACTAATAAAAGACATTTGCATAACTAAAACTACCTACCCGCCCTTTCATACTCGTTCTCTAAAGCCGTCTTACCGTGAGAGATGGTCCAGCTCCACACAACCAGTTAAAGCCGTCTTACCGTCTCTGAGTTTGTTTGATTCTTGCACTTAGAACCTTAATTTGGACTAGTTAAGTAGAATAGTATTGCATCAGATTATGAATTTTGGTTTTAACGACAGTGAGTATGAAATGGTCATGCAAATGCAATCCTCCACATTGGTTTTGTCTTGTAGATTGCACACGCACGCATGCATAACAGTTGGCGTGCACAACCAATTAATATATCTTCATTAGT